AATGAGGAATTCATTTTTTCAGTCTCAAATCTCAGTGTCCCTATGAGATATTTTGTTTGTCATTCGTAGGAACAGATGTCAAGACGCGGAAAATTCTTCGAAAATACTTCTCTCTCCAAGCGCGTGGAAAGGAAACGATTTAACTAATGCGTTCGAGCGCAAGGCCTTGTTTAATATCTTCTCTCTCTCCGGTCTGTACTTCAGCAAACTTCAAAGGAATTTAATTAATAATTCTGTCGGCTGATTGGAAAGCATTAGTTAATTGCATTTCATTGAATTGTCCTGATGACGTAAAAGCAGTAGCGTCAGATCTTCTCTTTTTAAAATGCGCCGAAAACCCCAAGATGTGTCATAGGCATATGAATAGTTAGTGTAATTTCCAGAGGTGAATATAAGAATGGGACATTCTGATTGGTCGAAAAGCTCATCATATGACGCAAAATTTACTCCGCTAGAGCTTGGTTACTAAGCTCGCCGCTGCTCGCTGCTGAATGAAGTTTTCATTTATTCGAAAGACATCACTTCAAGTCGAGGGTAATTGAAAGGAAGGAGAATTTTCAAAATGACTGCTGTCGCCCTTGGACCAAAAATCTTTTCAAGAACCTCGTATTCGAGGCTTTTAGCAATCGGAAACGCAGTGATTACGTTGATCGCCAGCAGGTCAGATCGATTGACCGAAATTTATTTTTCTTGAAAATAAAGCTACTCATCTTTAGGCGACGATGACAACTTTGAATGAAGTCAACAACGATAAAACAAAGGTACCGGATGAATTTATTTTTCGTAGTGTTTCGCTTGTTTATTTACTGCCGAACTCGAATAGCGAATTGATTGACAATCGATGTACATGTAAGCTTGTCATTAAAACTACGGCTGCATACGTGTATGCACACGAACAATTGCGTCTGTTTTTATGTTTTAGTCCGTTATTTTGTAGTCCTTGATATTCACCTCTGAAAATTATACTAAAACAATTATTCGCCTCAGGCTCAGTGAACATTGGTGAATATTCGCCGAGACGAAGTCGAGGTAAATATTCACCAAGGTTCACTTCGCCTTTGGCGAATAATTGTTAAATAGCCCATATTAATAGATCGATAGTCCCGTGATTGTTGATGCAACCGTCGTCGATATGGACGTCAGTTGTAGCG